TGTGTTTTACTCTTAAATGATAAAATCGCTTTCTGAGTGAGTTTGAACGTCAGAAACTAATGATAAGTTCACTAATTATCTGATATATTAAAGTAAGTAAATACATTTTTACAGATTGCCCAATTTTTTAAAAATTTTAGGTTTATGAAAAAAGAAAAAAAGGTGAAGATAGTGGCAGCATCATTATGTGGGAGATGCTGCAAAAGACTTGAAACTTAGCGGGTTCACAAGAAAAAACATATTTAATGACAAAATGGCTTAGGTAAAATGGATTGAATCAGAGACTGTATAAATGCTCAGATTGATGGGAAGACATTTTAGTCCAGATGTGAAAGGCTGTTAGAGAAAACAGCAGGGCTTCAAGCAAAAAGGTTGCGGTATTGACGCAATGGGCATGAGTCAATACTGCTCATATTTTCTTTAGATAAAAAACAAACAAACGTGCATTCCACATTACACTTATGCCCCATTTCTTGTCGGTTTGTAATAAAATCTGGCCGCAAAGTGATGAAAAAATTAAAGTACAAAATCTCAAAGGGTGCATCCTAGATGAATGAAGAAGAAGGGCAGACATAAGTACATCAAAATGAAAAGAAAATACATTGTTCTCTACTCTGAGGGAATGTAATTATGTGCTGCTGTATGGTAACTATTAACATAATAATCTGGGAATCTGTCCCAGCTGCTGCCTCTCTCTGATGTATTTCATAAAGCCCTTTAGCCTTATCAATATTTCCGCAGCCAGTTAGTTTTTTCTTTCCTCTCCAACCATTTCACATTTAACAGCCACACTCCATTAGCAAATGTACATTTTGCTACAGGGCACGGTTTTCTTCCTCTGTTTTGCTTCTTTTTTTTTTTTTTTGGCAAAGCCATTTAATTTCTTCCTTTCCCCTTTAGGCTTGGACACCAAGTGCTCTTTAAACAAATGAAATAAGCCGATATTTGTGAAAAATAGGAAGTTTAAGTGCGTGTGTTTGAGAGGCTTGAGGCGACCTTACGGAGGCTTTTTCGGCTAATGAAAAAAAAAAAGCTATCAAAAGCGGTTATTACTGCTCTCCTCGCTTTCTTGTTGCAGAATACTGTCCCTGGCTTTTTTTATTGTTTCCTCACCTGCTTAAAACAGTGAGGACAGTAGATCATGGAGGTAAAAGTGAATACGTCTTATGGAAACTTATAGAGTCGTCAAGTGAAAAAGAGGGGTTATTAAAGCGTGCCTTGCTGAATGGAAAAATAAAAACGAAATAAGCCGATCAAGCAAAATGCTCAGTGACACCATAGCAGAGAAGTTAATTTAAAAGTTTATGTACTAGTGCAGCTACAGAGGGTGAGGACTTGACTCACAACATAGACAAAAAAAAATAAAAGTCAAAATGATGTAAAAAAAAAAAAAACTACAAACTTAGACCATATATAACATTTTTAGAACGTGCAAAGCTGATCTACAAAGCAATGCAATTTAAATTGCATGTTTAAAACAAGCAAACAGTGAGTGCAAACCATTTTCTGTGCGCCTTCATGAAAATGCAGATCTTATGCTAAAAACCCAACCATGCAAATGTATTAATATGCAAAAGAATCTAAACTCGTATTTGATGTTATTGCGGCTACAAAACCGCCATTGGTACAATGAGAGATGGTGGAGAAAGACCCTCGTGAAGAGCCTGGAACACCTTCGTAAAACTCCCTCGTGATCAAGACCCCAAAATACTTAAACTCCAATTGAAGCAGATCCTCTCCTCCAACCTTTATATCGAATGCTTTAAATCTAACATTCGCTGGTTTCATTGTTTTCTTTTATTTTTGGTTTGTAGCACTTTGAGTGCTCAGAAATATGTATGATTATCATTATTAACTTCTATGCCATAGCTTATCTTTTGAGAACTGCTGTCAAACTGCCAGTGACGCACATAATCTAATTTAATTGGGGTGAAACAAACAAGTTATATTCTCTGCGTACACCATGTTGGTTGATCATCCACTTTTTTCCCAAGTTTAATGCTACTTATTCTGGTCCTTTGAAGACAAGCACCATACAGTTGTTTCATTAAAGTAAGTAACAGCATTGGAGCAACATTTAAAAACAGTCGCCATATAATAATCCTCTTTTTCTTTTATCCAGAAGAAAAATTATTCTTTCTGCTGATAAAATTATCTAACAATTTGGTCAAAGATGTAATAATAGTTCTAATAAAGCTGCTTTTTTATTTCTTATGTTGAGTTAAGCAAAAATGCAGCCTGTGAAAGCTTTTAACCCTTTCAATCAAACTTTTAACTCTTTAAAGTGTTAAACAGAAACTACAAAACGCTGATGGTTCAGTGTTGGTTAGCTGACTTTTCTCTTTGGCTAGACGACTCTAGTTTAAAAGCAGTTACCTTATGGCGTTGTCACACCTTGACGGTTTAGCCAGCTTATGCCAACATCCAGGAATCTTGTAAAATGCTGGCATACGCTAAACTTTCTATGTATTTTTTTTTTATTTTGGGCATATAAATACAGTATTCATATCAAGTACAGAACTTATATCCGACAGGCTAACTTATGCATAACGCACGGCAGCGTAATGCCTATGAAATGTCATGAGCCAGTGTCCTGAGGGTGGCAGCAATGCGCCCGGAGATGCCCGGTCTGCATAAAAAGCACAAGAAGAAGATCTCTCTTAACTCCACATTCACAGTATTAACCTAGCTGTCCTTTACCACCCGCCAAAAAAAGAAAAAAGGTTTTCAGTCACAGCCGATTCAGCATCATGTTTGCTAGGAATTTAGTTGGTTGTGGGCGTGAACGCACGGAGAATCCCTTAAACTCACCTTCACGCTCAACCTATGATACGGATGATACAGGTTGGATAGCTAGACACTACGACTTATGAGTAACTTAAAATTAACGTGTGTTAACGATCACATCGTTTATCTGTAACTTATGGCCCACGTATGAGAAAAAGCTGGCATGTCGCGTGCCAGCGTTTTTCAGAGAGCCCATAAATCATACAAAACTTACCCTTAACTTATCCAACTTACGCCAGCGTTTTTGCCTAATTTTTTCAACGTCGGCATACACTGGCTAAATCATCAAGGTGTGACAGCGCCATTAACAAGCGACACAAGTAGGTATTCATGTGGCCACGAGGAAAAGCATAGTACCATTCTTTGAGCCATCTCACCAGCACTGTGCAGCAACAGGTGGGGGATGGTTGTTAGTCTATTATGTGTACTGGTCAGTTATGTTTTTACGAGGTATGAAATACTGTTTAGGCAGCAAATGTTCTTAAAGCACAACATTGTGCTTTACAATCCCATCATAAAACCTTATACAAGCCAAATGTACATTTTATACCTGTGTGTTATATTTAGTAGATAAAGTTGAGATTTTTTTATTTGCCCTTTTTTTTTTTTTTTTTTTTTCTCCAAGAGGGGTAAGTGTATTATTTAGTGCTTCTCTGGTCCTAAAACCGAGCTGGAGGCAGGATACCTTAACGCCTAAAGCCCATAAAGCAGTATGTTCAATTTATGAGTGCTCAGAGGATATCTGCCAAATATCTCTAAAGAAATCTGAGTTGACTCTAGGGTCAAAAAAAGACAGTAAATTAATAAGTGAAACTAATATGAGTGTCTTTTTAGCTTATAAATCAGCTGACTGGTCCTGATGGCAAAGTATGGCCATTGTTAGCTGTTTTTTTCCATTATATCTTTTAAAAGAGAAACATGAATTGGCGTCAATCACTGATAAATAATGCAGAGGGCAATATTATCTAGTTTTCTCTGTAATTCTGATGATGCCAGTCATTAACTGTGAGAGGGCAAACTGTGCTTGCAAATGGCCATGTCCTCGTAGCTTTGCAGTTCTCTTTCCGCTTTCAGACGACGCACTAACCATGGCTCAGTGAGATCTTCAAACCTTTGGATGTTGTTTTGAAACCAAACTCTGTTTTAAACCTCTCTCTGTGATCCGGCTTGGTAAAACAATCCAAAGGTTTGGCTTGAAAGCAATAAAAGTTTTACAAGGTAGAGAATCCATAAATCACACAGTCTATGGTTCAACTCCTGGCTTCCTTAAGCAAAAAAATAGCCCTGAAGGCAGTTAAACCCACATATATCTCTAGAGTTGTAGGCTTCCATGCTATTTTCAAGTGCTTTAATAATGCAGCTTGTTTTTTAAAAGACCATTTCAGCAGCCAAAACCATAAAATAAACCCATGAGAGTAATCAATATATCATTGAGTCATGGATCCTATTCCTCTAATGCACCCCAACACAATACACTCAAACAAAAACCAAGAGACTAAGATATACAAGGAACAAAAACATGAACAAACCATTGATGAGGGTTTATGTATGGTACATTAGCTTTACAGCCAGAATCCAACACAACTACATACAATATCCATACACTAACAATAGTTCAGTGCTTATAAGCCTCCATCTGAGCTGAGCACCGAACAAAGGCGCCGTTCAGCTAAAGAGACAATCGGTAACCTCCAACCGGCTGAAAAAGCAGCACAAACAGGCACACATACATCCGTGCACCTTCAATGACATCTTTTCTGCGGCACATTAGCTATTGTGCTGTAATTAATGGGAGAGTCGTGGCGTTCAGAAAGCCAGACTTTCCTCAGCAGACTAAGAGCTGTACACCACAACAATGGCTTAATGAGTAAACACAACGTGCCTCTCATGAATAAATTATTTGTGCCTCACAATTAATTTTCCCTATTGAAGTTTGGAAGGGGGGGAAGGGGGGCTCTTGGTCTTCATAAATCAAAACAGGAAAGGATAAGGGAGAAAAAAAAAGCATGGTGGCAACTTTGTGTATTTTAGTGTGTTTTTATCGTTTGTGAGGGTTTATCTGTGTTTTTATGTGCCTGTGCTCAGTTGAGCTTTTATGAATCTGTATAACTTCCTGGTTTATTGTGCTATGAAGGAGCTGGTTTTGTGAGTATTTTTATGCTTTATGCTTATGTTGAGGCTGTGTGGAAATATGTGGCTGAAAGGAAACTCACTGAGAGGAGCTTCCAGGCAATCGGCCGAACTTGTCGCGGGATTCCAGACCAGCTTAATTTCCGGAGTTCGTCTGCAAGACAAGAAAAACACGATTTTTTCATTTGAATAAGAAAGAAAACCCAAAACAAGAAATGCTCTTTATAACACAGCATATATAATGTATAAACATCTAGGATCTAATAAAGTTGTAGGAGAATAAATGGAAAAGATGAAGGAAAAAAAATTATGTAAAGGTTAAAAGAATTTATTATCTATTTAAGTGGTAAAGTGAGACGATCATGAATGGAAATTAAAGAGAGTCACGGGATATGTGGTCCTTTTGAAACAGATATGAGGAAATATGTTATCTACCAGTTTAGAAATGGTATTTCACAAAAAAAAAACAAGTCATTTAGGTGTTTCAACATTTTCAAAGCAGATATAATTCAGATAAATTGGCAATCAGAGGATATCTCATATGCCAAAAATAACAAAGGAAAGCTTTGTTGGATGGAATTCTTAAGAGGGGAAACTGAACTGAGATCAACTCTGCAGGCTCACATCCGGGATGCACAGAAACATAATTCTAAAGGTTTTTCTTTTTTCTTTCTTAAAACTTCAATATCAATGTGTTTTTTCAGCTCTCTACTTCAAGTGCAAAAGTTGTGTTAAATAATTAAGGCGGTATTAGGAGTTGCACAACACCAGGAAACATGTCATTGGGATAATACAGCAGAATGTTGACGGTATTGATTTAATAACTAAACTTTTACTTAATCTCTTCTTTCTTTCTCATCATGCTCAAACCCCTCTTTGTAAGCTTTATCAATTAATGCACTAAAAATAAACACACGTGCCTAACAGTAGGAACCAAAGCTAAACCTGCATATGGAACATTTTAACTATTAAAATCCTGCCAGATATTGCATCAAAGTGATTGTAATACAGCACACATTGATATTCTGGTATGATGCAGTCCTAGGTGGTACAGAAAGAGCAGGTTTCTCAGTTTGAACTGCAGGCTGTTCTCTCCTCTCCTTATCGTAATATCTCCACTACTGTTTCTGAGCTTTAGAATTTGGGTCATTAAATTCTTCATCTATAAACGAAGCCTCTTCAGAGCAGCATTCAGTTACTAGTTTAGACACTGGTGAGGCTTTTATGGAATGGATAAAAAAAGATTTTGATTTCCAACAATCTCTGTCATTTTTAAGGCTGTGAAGGAGTGAGAGAGAACAACACTTTGAACAGATAACAGTAAGGCTTAATGTAAAGAAAAGCTGCTTGATCTTTGTTTTGTGTTTCAACCTCTGTCAGCAAAAAATACCCAGTACAGAAATGTTAGCACCCTTTTTTAAATCTAAGTTGAGCATATTTTTCTACAGAACACATGCTAATATGTGATAGCAATAGTCAGGATAAGTATGTTTAACAGTAGTGTATGCCGCTTGAAACTTAAGTTTAGAGAATGAGTTAAGTTACACTTTGTCTTGAAGTCTAACTTAACTTGAAGTATAACCCTACCCCCTGAACAAACTTTTAAAAAAGGCTACCAAAGTGGGCTTTGCCAGGAGACATGGTTGGTGTGGCGATGAGCAGAAGGGGTTTAACAAGGAAGGTAACAGTGAATGTGATATGACTAATGCTGACTAAAGCAGTTGGTGATGCTCAATTCAGATTTTCTAAATCCTGATCTTTTTGCTGTAGTCTATTATACTACTAATTAAACATGATCACTATCAGACATCAACCTGACCCACACAAAAGGAGAATGACTGTCACTAGAAAGCTTTGTTTGAAAAAAAAAAATCACCATCACATTGGATATTAAATATCTTCAGCTTCCCAGTTCCAAGCAAAATCCAACTCGGCAAACATTGAAGTTCGATGTAGAGTTGTACCGTTTCAACCGATAGAAAAATTAACTGCGGTGGTGGTCACATCTTCATTCCATAGAGGGCATCACAGCTTTACAAAAAAAATTGAAACATTTGAATAGTGGCCTTAAAATAGCACCCTTTTTTTAGTTTAGGTACAAAAAAATTATTTGTGGGTACTTTTCTCTTTAAATATTTAAAAAACTATCAGACTCATGCCACATCAGTTGTTGCATGAGTTTGCCTTGGTTTCTTATCCCGCCAATTATTGCCAGATGGATAAAAAAAAAAGAATAATAAAATAGGCAGATTGTTGTCACAAAGTTTTGTTCAGGTGTTCTTCAAGTGTAGATGATTTTAAAATAAAATTAAGATATTAGTATTTAGTACAAATGCATGGTGGTAAGACTAATGCTTGGTAAAATATCTTTTTTAAACAAAATAATATATATCAGCATAATTTTTCAATGCTACATATGTTTATACACTGTGGGGTTTGACCTCAATTATAAGTTCTGAAATCAGCTTTAAAAACAGCTTCATCCAAGTGGATCACATTTCTCTTACCCTGATAGCAAGTTGGCAACTACCCCTATCCTCAATTTCCAAACTTCTGTTCCCATCTGTCTTTTTGGCACTAAAAATATGATGGGTTAGAAGTGGACTATTAACTACTTTTTCCCCAGGCTGGGTGGAAGACCTGCAGGCTATAATGTAAAATGAATCTGATGGAGAGCTGCAAATTGAACTTTTAAATTGGTGGAGAGTAATCCCCTTTGGGCTCATGAGGACCTAGGAAAATATGGCTTAATGCAAGGTTTCAGCCAGCCCGTACACCTTCGCTCAAACACACACCGTGGCCGTATAGGATATGGGAGTATGGGGATCAGCAGTGATTGAAGGAAAAAGTACTTTGCCCAGAGTGTTTTAAGAATCGCGTGTCTTCTATTTCACCCCGTTTTCATATAAAATGAACATCAGAGAACTGCTACTGAAAGCAATTTGTCCATAAAGATCCTTTCTCAGGACAGAAAAATATCTTTGCACAAAAGCTTTTGTCTGTAGAAGTGCTTTTGGGCATACTTTTGGTTAATCTGGAGGATTACACATACAGGAGCAAGAGGAAATAGATCAAAATCGTTTGGGTTTCACTTCACAACAGAACTCACAACCCCTGTTCAATAAAGTTAAGGTGCAAAGATGAGGATGGGATAGTAAGACTCCATGTGTGCTTTCAGAAAGGTCTGCAGCACATTAGGGAAGAGTTGGAGGGAACTTTAAAACAGGGTTAGGTTATAAAATGTTATCTGTAGCTTTGAACATTTCATCGAGCAACAGAAATGTACCCAGACCCGCTCTTTGACCTAAACTGATGGAAAAACAAGAGATTAATCAGAAGTTTAGGGACGCGTGCCGACTCTGGAGAGCTGCAGAGATCCACTGCTGGGATGAGTGAATCTGTCGATAGGACAGCCAATAGTCATCCACTCCACAAATTTGGCCTTTACGGAACAACGGCAAGAAGAAATTCATTTAAAGAAAAAAAAAACTAAAAAGTTTAGTTTGCACCAGCCGCTAATGGGAGAGAGCGACAGTCCTCTGGTCAAATGAGACTGAATTGTAACTGCAAAGAAGGAAAGGCAAATTTGTCTTCACAGAGGGAGCAGCATCATGATGGATGGATGCTCCCTTGACCAGGTCAGAGATAAAGAATGAGAGAGCTGCATCCCGGCCACCGCTTTAAGCAGAGTGTCCTGAGAGTTTAGTGTATCCAAAACAGACTAGATGCATTCTGGCAGTATATCATGAAGGCAAGAGGGTTCCTATATGAGCTTGTGCTAACACTGAATCGTTTATTATTCACCGACAGGCCTCCCTCTGCATTCAAACCTTTATTATTCAACAAGACAAGCTGCCAGGGCAAAACTGAGACAACCATGAAAAAAAAAGGAATGAAATCTCTTTGCTTGTGATTGCACAGCTAACAATTTAGCAGCATTCTTGGAGCGATGGCGGAGGGCAAACTGATTTACTAGGAAATTAATTGCAGCTGCCTGAAAACACTTTTCAGAGTTCAAATACAAAAAAATAAAAATCTGAAATGCAGGTAATGAATAAGCCAAATTCCTTCTCACCTCTTATTCAAGGCAGTGCCTGGAAATTGATACGGCCTTCGCGCAGAGTGAACAGTATTGATTAGCGCTGCCAAATGACTCTGCCTTGCCTGTTCTTCAAGGCAAATGCAATGTAGGGCCAGTGACAGATAACATAATAGGAAATAGCAATGGGCTAACTCCATTGGCTAAATTGAGTGAAACACATTAGAGCTTGTTCACCTGATGAGGGCGGCTATTTATTCACTATAGTTCCTGCACATCTTCCACTTAAAATTTCTACCTTACCTTGTCCCCCGCTGGCTTTAATTATATAGAAATCCAATACAGTGATCTAGTGCACAGCATGGCTGTGTTAGTTCAGAGGAGTCAGTGCTCCACAGTGTGGGAAGGTTTCGATTATCTCAAGGCTACCTTTGCAGCAGCAGTATTTGGAAAAAAAAGGAAATAAAAATATTGAGGAAAAGCGGCGTTAGACAGGAAAGAAACCCTGAACGCTTTCAAATTGCCTTCTTTTTGTTCCACTTTAGCTTTTGACATCTTAAAAGGGTTTGCAAGTAAAAGCAGAGAATGGGGTTTTTGTTTTAAAAGCTTCGATTTTAGATAAACTGCTACATGTATGTTTTTCTCTCTGAATTTGTAGCTTCACTGACATGTAGACATTTTAAGAGGTTATTTTTCCCCCTTAAGAGACTTCTTTTGAATTAATAAGCTTAAACTCCCTTTATTTGGTTAATATGTGTTGCACTGCTAAACATACACGAATGCATCATAGCAGTATCATGGTGTGCTGATGCTTTTCCAACAAGGAGCTGATAAAGACTAAATTAGCTGTTTTGCAGATTCCAGACCTGCCATCTTATTTGCATGTCTTCCCCCTTTTCACTTCCTGTTTCCTGTCTGAATGCTGTAGAGAAAGTTCATAGAGCCACAAGATCTTCTAAAGAAAACTTAGTCTAAAAACTTCCTAAATAGTAATAGATTTTGCAACCTGTATAACTCACAACTGCATCTACTTTTAACTGGACCAAAGTTTTGAAGACGACTTTAAAGTCACCGTGTGCAAACTCCCCCTCCTACTTCCCCCAACACCTCATCAA